TCATTGGTGTTTGAACACGTTTGCTGACTTCTGGGTCTCGGTGTCCTTTTCCTTCCCCGCTTACTTCTGCAGCTCCCACCACTCACCCGTTGTTGGGAGCACTGCTCAGACTGGATCTAGTGTCACATTAGTGCAAAGGAAGTTACCATCATCTGCGAGGGGTTCATAGGTGAGGTCCCCAGTGCCTGTCTGACTCTCTATCCGATGGCTTTCCTGGTGAGAGCCCCCGTCGGCTCGGTGCAAAGGAATGGGCACAGCCTCACGGCCCGTCTTTGAAGGAACCTGTCTTGTCTGCCCGGAGATCTGAAAGTTCATGCTTCTGCTGCTTCTGAAACCTTTAAAAAAAAAAAAACAACAACATTTTCAGACCATGCTCAGTGTTTGAAGTGGTGTTGCTCACCCTCCCGGTTTTCTGCGGAGAATCCGGGCCAGCTCTTGGCTACAAACCCCCTGTTTTGGAAAGCTTGACATTCCCGACAGCGACAGCGAAACTGCAGCTTTGCAGTGCAGGAGAGCAGCATCCCTTCTCTTCCTTACGGCTGGTGCAAATATCTCCAGCAAGCTAGAGACCTGCTAGCAGGAAGCCTAGCAATAGCTGTTTCTAATTGTCTTTCTGCATTCATGCTGGACATTCCCTGTGTCCTCCTCAGGGTCAGGCTCTGCTGCAGGTGCTGCTCCTGCCAGAGATCTCGGCTCTGCACAGCCTGCTTTCCCCCTCTCCCCCCCACCAGCTCCCAGTTTTACTCCTATCTCTGCAGTGTGGATACTGTACCCTGGTGTCTCAACTCAAAATGAAGCTGGGGGCAGCTTCCCAGAGCAGGGCTCCTGCGGGATGAGGTGCTGGCTCTATCTCCACTGGAGGCTTAAGAAGGCATCCCGAGGTCTTACCTCTAGCCTGGTACCAACCCTCACCTCGTCCTGATCCTTGTGCAGTCTGTATGCACGTAGGTGTCCTTCCTCTCCCGGTTTGTTTCGGTATTCCCGCATGCCATGGTCAAGAGCTCTCCCCTCCTTCCTCCCTGCCCTGCATCTGTGCGGTGGGTCTGAGCTGGCAGCCGTGGCTGGAGGGACTGGAGGAGCTCCTGGCCAGAGCCGCTCTCCAGCCACCAGCTGTTCTCACGTGCGCTTGGTTTTCAACCTGACTCGTTGGATCTTGACACCTTGAAGAGAGAGAGAGAGAGAGAGGGATGCAAGCAGTATGACTGTAGCATTTCTTGGGCGAGGAGTCCTCAGCGCGTAGGCAGGCCATCGTGCCCGCTTGTACAGACGTTTTCTATGCGCACGGATGTATATGTGTAGATAACATGGTTTTTTAACTCTTTTGCACTCAACAACATTGGAGTGAAATCTTGATTTGGAACCAGAAGACACATTTTTCCCGTGGATCCAGATGTCTAGATCCCTTACTGTAACCTGTCTGCTGAAACTGGTGGTGCTGTCCGTACCTGTTCTCTGTTGCTGGCCGTGTCGGGCTGCCTGCAGGCTTTGGGTCGGGGCGGTGGCGTGGGTCTGCTGTGGAGGACAGAGGGTGGCGAGCTCCAGTTTGGAAGCAAAACTTCTCCCCATCTGCTCCGCGGAACAGGTTCGTGCACAGGCCTGACCCGGTCGGCTTTGTGGTGTTGGTCTGATCCGGTGGTGCGATCCGACCTCCTCTCCATCCACTTGCAGTGTGTCGTTTGTGTGACTTGCTCAGCCCAAAACTGGCTGTGTCCAGTGTGATGGCCCCACGTGCCCAGACCCACAGCCCAGACCACGAGAACTGTCTTTCCTAAGAAAAGGGGGAGCAAGGAGGGGTTCATCCCTGCTTCGGTGCGGTTTGTTCCCGCTCTGGTGGGGTTTGCCCCTGCTTTTCTGCGAAGAGCAGGAGGAATTTGGGTTTGTTACTCTTACCTGTATCTCAAGACTCTGTGACTGAACTGAAGCTCTTGCATCGCTCGTGTGGGCTTGGTGCGTCCGTAGGAAGAGAAGGAAGGGCGTTTGCCAGCGGGAAGAGGTGAGCTGGCCGAGGGAGGGGCTGCCAGTCTGCCGGCAGGGGCCCGCCCGGGCGGGGGCCGCGAG